AAATACATGGAGATGCTGAATCTTTGGAGGAGTGTTTGGACCAGTTTACAACCAGAGAGAAGCTTCATGGGGATAATATGTATAAATGTGATGGGTAAGTGTCAATTTTGCGGAATGAGCACACATATTTCTTCTATAATCAGTGTAATTCCAAATCTGTAAATGCTACGCTTTTGTGCATCAAGAGTGAGCACATTAGTTGAAAGTATTTGCTTGTTTTTACAGTGCCCTTGCTGTTTCTGTATATGCAGAAGACTGAGTGATTTTGAAATTGTCTCTATTTAGCTGCTTTATTATAATCTTTCATCATGTGTATGGAGTCAGTACATACAATCTACTTTCTTGCTCCTGATAGTTTCTGTGTGACTGTATTTAGCACTGTTCTAAACATTTGCCTAGGCGCCGCCCGGCCGCCTCCGATTTGCATGAATCGTCTGAAAAAATCGGCCAGGCGGCTGGGTGGCGTCTATACGCTCCTAGGCGGGATCAGCGGTAATTTTTCATTTTTTTTTTTAAAGAATAATTACATTATTTTGTTATCATGTTTTCTTTATAACATATGCATATTTTTATTTGGACTTAGCTGTGTGGATTTATTATAAGTTGAGGTAGTTTTATTTTGTAGGTAATGAAAATAAATAAAAAATAAGGTATTTATTCTTAATTTCTAGGCTCCACCTATGCGCTCTAGACGCTAGGCACTAGGCACTAGTTGAGCGCCTAGTGGGTGCCTACCGTCTTCTAGAACACTGGTATTTAGATGATTCCTCGATTGCAACACTATTAGGGCTGGTGTTTATTCTTCTATTTCTCTGAATGAGTGTTCCTTGCTGATGGTTCAGTTGTAGTGTAGAATGTTCTATATTCATTTCAATTCATTCTTTGTGTAACATTAACCACGAGTTGCCCGTGCAGTTGCAATGCTTATGTCATGGCATGGAAGCGCCTTACAATCCAGAGAGCCCCAAACATTCTAACAATTGCCTTGAAAAGATTTCAGGTCTGCTGTTTAACTCTGCCGTGTTGGTTCCTTTATAACAAGTTTCCATCTTGTTTGGGAATAATTTGTCCATCTATATGCATCAATCTGAAAATCATTATAGTAGCACTTCATTGTTTCCTTGGCACACTGATGAAAAGAAATGCACCTTCTTCTTTTGCAGAGTGGAAGATTTGGAAAGCTTAATAAGAGAGTGACTTTTCCCGAAACACTGGACCTTAGGTTGTACCTGAGTCAGTCAGAAGATGGAAATGACATTTACAAGCTATATGCTGTTATCGTTCACATTGATATGCTGAATGCATCATTTTTTGGTCACTATATCTGCTATATTAAGGACTTAAGTGGAGACTGGTATAGGATTGATGACTGTAAGGTAACAGTTGCTGCTTTTTTTGCCTTTTCTGTTTCTGAAGTGTCTTTTTCATTTTCTTTTGCTATTAAATTACAATTGCATTGCTCCAATGTTTGATATATTTTGCCTTCCAAACATTTTCTTGGTACTTGAGGACTTTACTAATGAACATAATCTAAGTTAAAATATAATATAAAAGAATATATATCTTGCACTTTTGGTGGTGTGCTTGGTAGTTGATAGGAGAGTACTGAGTAATTCAATAGACATGCTGTTTTATAGTCATTTTTAATCTATGCGTTGCGTTATACATTAGCTTAGTTTTATCTCAAATCCTTTCTCAGGTTGAACGTGTTGATTTAGATGAGGTGCTTTCGCAGGGAGCTTACATGCTTTTGTACAGCAGGTAAATTCTATTGTGTCACATGCTTAATCAGAATCAGCAAATCATCAAATAGAATATTTATGCTTGCGAGCATATTTTGGAGTTTATCTATTAACTTTCTTTCCAGAGTATCTAGTGACTAATGTTTTAAAAACCCGTGATCAATGTTTTGAAAATAATAGGTCATTTTATTGTAAATTTGTAAAATCATACAAACAAAAACAAATGAGTCCCATTTAATAGGCATGAGAATATCTCTTAGTTAAATCAAAATCGTGACTAGGTTATTTAATGCTCCGCACTGTTTTATAGGATTCGTGCCCGCCCCTCATGCCTACTTCCAGCTGAGCTGTTGCCAAAAGAAGTAAGCTCAAATGTGAAAGTAAACAAACCTTCTGAGCCTTTGGCTGATCCTGTATGCATAGATAGTTCTGTTGACTCTGGCCAAGCTTTATTGGTCAATGGAACCGTAATTCCGGTCAAGTCTGAGAATGTGCTGCCATCCACTACAATAGGCACAGAAGATCATGCAAGTGTTGATATGGAAATCGAGACATCTCAACCAAGGTCCCTCACGGTCGAGGCAATTGAAATGAATGGTTCAGAGGAATTGCCCATTTTGCCCAAAGAAGTTGCTTGTCAGTCAAATCCCACCAGTATTACCTCGGTCAATGGAAGTTCTACTCAAGTGGGCTCCACCAATTGTGAGTCATCGTCTGCTGTTTCTCATTTAGAGAAGGTGTGTTGTGGAAGTGAAAATGAGGGCCGATCCCCTAAATCTACATATGTGCTCAAAGAAAATGCTGTTTTCGTTAAGAAATCAGGAGACGAGCCCGCACCGAAGCTTAAGCCGCTTTTTGCTCCAGGTTTTCTCGAAAAGGGCGGCCAAAGGAGAATTGTCAAGCCGGAGAATAGAGTGTCCAGAGAGACGCTTTTTGCTCCAGGTTTTCTTGAAAAGGGCCGCCAAAGGAGAATTGTCAAGCCGGAGAATAGAGTGTCCAGAGAATGCTCTAAGTTGAATTCCGAAAGAGCAATAGGAGTTGCAGAATGGAGGTTAACGCCTGAAAACGGCACCTTATCGAACGGGCATAAGCCTTGAGCTACGAGGGAGAATCAGAAGGCCTATGACGGGTCTTTCAGTTATAAGGACATGAAAAATGGAGAATCCACTGTAGTGAGAGGCTCTAGTTAGAAGAGTAAAAGGCAGACGGGAATTAAAATCTTCGGAACTCTTGAAAAGGTCTATATATGGTCCAAAGTGCATAAACGCAGCGTGATTTTCATGTGACACCGAGCATGAGAAGACATGATGAAGATTCATTCATTACCTGGGAAGATAGCATGATGAAGATTCATTCATTACCTGGGAAGCTGGGAAATAATGAGGGTTAACCAGAGAGATTCTGCTCAGAAAATGCGAGTCCCCTTCGCTCTTTTCTTTTCATTTTTACCCCTTTTTCATCTTATTTATTATTAAATGATCACATTCCTATATTAGCATTAACTTTATGCGCCGGGAGATTTGTCCGGGATTTCAATATTTATAGAAATCTTGGATGCTCGTAACCCGATTCATTCAGATCTTTTAACTGGAACGAGAACACCACCATTATTTGCACATTTTTGTCTTGTGAAAGTTTCTTTTTATTTTTTAGAATTTTTTCATACGAATTATGATAATTTTTGAAATGTGTTCTTCAGAATCTAATTTATCGGTTTTTCTATGGAACCATCGGATGGCTCGGCTTGTGGAGTCATTCATTGTTATTCACAAATGATGTATTGACACGTGTCTTGCAGTAAATGTACATTGGACATGTGTCAGTACATAAAGTTTAAGTTATGGATGGTTTCATAAGCGAGTCATCCGATAGCTCCATAGAATTACTGAGATTTATTTTTTAATAATATTTGTGTCATAACAATTGATATTACAAATAATATATGCTTATTATTTAATCTCAAACATAATACAGAAATGAGCAGCTCGTAATAGGAAAGTGTTCCTTTTTGGTGACAATATTTGTTTACAATTTGAGTTGAAAATACATCGTGTTTATTCTACTTTCACGAGAGCTTTGGGTGTATAAGAAACTATTAATTATGTAAAACTACTATTTATAATTTTTTTTTTTATTTGGTCATTTTTGGGTAGTTTAATTCATAATTTTTTGAACTAATTTGGGCTTAACTTGCATGCTATTTGCATGTATAATTTATATTATCAAATGGACTAGTAATATTAAGGGAAAATTTTATCCTTACTATACGATACAAAAGAATTTTCACATTTACATTCATATAACAAGTAATAGGATAATTGCATAATTAGGCTATTTTATTTACAAGATTGCCTAAATATCAGGTACTCCATGTAACGTCCTCCATCTATCTCTCTTCCGTGATTTCTGCCATTGTTACCCGAGAAAAAAAAAAGGCAAATCGTATTTTCAATTCAAATTCATAAGAAACCAAAATTTTTGGAAAAAAAAAAATATGAGATTTGAATTTTCAGAGCACTCGTGATCGCGACAGCTAAAAAAAGGCCAAGGTGATCGATCTGTGTTGTCCCCGGTGATCGATCTGAGATTTCACCCAACATATACTCCAGGAAGACGAGAATTCCCCGGCGATAGAATTGAATTATATTTCTGGAATTTTTATCGTATATTTGAAACTTTAGAATGTTGAGTTTTTTTTTTTTGTTTTTTTTTTGTTTTATTTTTATTCTTATTCCGGATTAAATTGTCTGATTTTTGTTGTTTAGTTTTTGTTTTTTTTTTCATTATTACTAATCGAGAGGCACAAGTTTTCAGTTTTGTTTGTCTTCTTCCGCTTGTAGTGTAATTGTGACATCTTGACGGGGATTGAATCTCGAGTGTATATCTTAGGTATATTTAGGTATATGTGGGTTTTGAAATCGATTTTGATGAACTATTGAAATTCGGGTGTATATTTAAAGTATATTTTATGTGTATGTGTGTCTCGATCTTTCGCTGGCTTGAATTACAAGAATTTTGAGTGTATATTTTATGTACATGTGTTGTTTTGGTATTCATTTTTTTGTTGATGAATAACTTGGTGTTCTTTTGGACATGATTGAATCCGCTTTGACGAAAAACTTCTATGGGGATAATTGTCGAACACTTAGTTTGCTTGATTCATTGATAGATAGTTCTATTTTGTACATGTTGCGGGTATATGCAGTATATTTTTGGGTATGGAAATATATATGTTTTGGGGTATAAAAATTATGTACATGAATTATACATTACCATCAGATATGAAAATTTACATGTTGCGGGTATATACAATATATACCAATGTTGTACATGCATACATGTACATAAAATATACATAAAATATACACTCGAGATTCTCGTAATTTAAGTCAACGACAGATGAGGACACATATATACATAAAATATACTTTAAATATACATTCGAGTTTCAACCCTTTCTCAAAAATCGATTTCAGAACCCACATATACCTCAAATATACCTAAGATATACACTCGAGATTCAATCCCCGTCAGAATGTCACAATTACACTACAAGCCAATGTTTTAAAAACCGTACCGGTCGTCATACCGGTGTAGCGACCGGTATGCGGTATTACCGGTACGACCGGTATTATCGTCTATTTTACCGGTTTTAATAAATTTTAAATTAATTTGTTGTTATAATATAAATAATGTACAAAATGAACTTTAATTAATACTAAAATTACTTAACATCTAATAACAATATAAATATATTAAAATTTAGTGTAGAAATTTCAATTTACATAAATAAAATATTAAAAATATATTAAAAATATTTTTTTTTTTAAAAAAAAAATGGGAAAACCGGTATTTTTGACCGGTATTTTGGCTGGTATTTGGCGGTAAACCGGTATTTTCCGGTATAAAACCGGTATTTTGATCAAAATGGTATTTTGGGTGTAACCGTACCGGTCGGACCACCGGTATCCGGTATTACCGGTAATACAGGCCGGTACGGTACGGTATTT